TTTCAAGACATTAAAAGTGGCTTCCGCAAGCAATTTGCATTCTGTTCTAATACGAGCAAACTTTGATAATAGTGTTGTTGATGTGCTAAATTTCTTACGTTTTAACTATGTCTAAAACCGTCAACTCTACACATGAAAACCCAGATCACAATACAGCATGTCGTTCATTGTCAATAATCCATAAAAACGCGTCAGTTGCACAGTTGGCATCGATACAGGGTCGCATACTTTATAACAAACTTTGTGTAGTTACAATAGGGGAATCTTCATGGATATCACCTTAGACAAAATTTTGAAATAAACAGTCACAAAAACTTTGATGCCTGATCATTGATGTTGAAATAACAGCATTAAACAGGATAAACTTAACGTCCTTTGAGCAGAATCTAGAGGGTGTTAACATGGGGGAGGGGGTAACACGAGAATATTTTTTAATGTTGGACGCTGACGATGACGAGGAAAATCGGGGTTCATACCCCCAAAGAACGCAGTCCATGCTGCCTATTTCTGCACTGCAATGAAAACAAAATTTAAGCATAAAGAAATTTAAATAACTCAAAAGGTATTTAAATCAAAATCAACAAAGCAGGTGCAGACACTACGATTCGAGATCCCCCACTCCTCCTTCATAAAAAAATGATAGACAAAAAATTCTGCACCAAATACTACAAATCAAATCAAAATATATTATGTACCTGTCATTAAGAAATAACTCAGTTTGATAGACTTTCAACTTTGCACGTTCCAGCACACACTCATTACACCTTCTTGAATTTTTCATCTAGATAGGGTGTTTTGAGAAATCTCGTGCTTTGTAGATGAGCCCTCTCAATATTTCGTTAATTGTTTGCCTCTGCACCAAAGAATACGCGATTTAGAAGTTAAGGGTTTGCATAAACATTGACTAAATTTCAAAAAAACTTAACTGGTTTAAAAGTTGAAAAACATGTGCCATATTTAAATCATAATGTGTTCTAACTGCGTTTTGGCTGCGTATTACATCTGAGTATTTGAGGCAATTTTACTGTCAGATGAACAATCTAACAAAATCACCAAAATGTTTTTCCATTAAATGCTTTTTTCCACCAAATGTTTTTGCAAACCTTTAAAACCTTTTTCACCTTTCAATATACATATATATGTTTATAAAACGGGCACAATTAACAATTGCACAGAAAATAAAATGAGCTACAAATATGATCTTTATCAAAATAGATCTGCAGTGTTGACAGCACAAAAATTTAATGACTGGGTTACCCCGTTCATTAATTTCTCTGAAGCGAAATGCTCTTTGTAATCAATAAATTTTTAAATAATGAAATATTGTTCAATTGACGCTGCAGGACTAAACAAGCAGGCTGTGGTTATTGGTTCAGTTTTGAGGTAAAACTTTTTAAGAAACAAATCGGAAAAGAATTTTTTCTAGCAAATGATTACAATCTAACTTAATCCTATAAGTTACTCTTGCTAATCTATGTTTTAGCACAGGTAGGAAAGCATCGGCATCATCTAATTATTGTCACAACCTTTAATTATCCACAGGTGAATAGTGGTAATCAGTAGCGTAGTCAGTCATTCACTTTAAAAACAATTGATTTCTAACAAAATGAATAAATGCTAGTGATGAAAAAGTTTGCATAGTACGAATAAATTTGCAGTCTGGCTACGCCACTGGATGTAATATAATAACCGTTGTCATAAAATTAATATGGTATAGAGTAGAGAACAGTGACCATTTTGCCATAAATTTGGCAACAAGTATTTCATGCTTTTAATTTCTTTAATTCAAAGAAAAACTTACCCAAAAAAATTGAGCAAAGAGTTCTGAATTTACTTGCCCTTTCTTCAGTTTTCTCTCAATTAATGTTTCACCTCACCGTGAGAAAAATTTAAATTATTGTCTTCCATGTAATCAACTGCACAGCAACAGTATCAACTCTACTGTAACTTTAAATTCTTGATACAAAAACACGTAAACATGAACAAAAATGAAACCATAAATGAAAATGTCATTGTTCGTCGTTGTGTCATCGTTAAAAATAATTTCAAACATTCTTAACTTTAGTACTTCGTTCGCCAAAAACGAACAACTGCTTTGCGTTTCAAAATTCTTTTTTTCTCATCAAAAATGAAAATTGGACAGCCGCTTTGTTTTCCATTCTTTGTTGAGCTGGAAAAACAAATGGCCCTTTAATAAAATTATCTTGTGTTCTGTTTTGCTTTAAAGAAAAGTTTATGAAGTCGAATTACGAAAATCCTAGTACGACAATCGTTTTTTTCAAGCTGAAAAAACGAATGGCCCTTTGGTACACGCATTAACAATCTATTGGTCGTCTAAAAAACTACCACATTATCAAGCATGAAATGCCAATTAACTGTCTCCCACTAAGTGATGATATTGTTTCTGTGGTTACTGCATTAACCTGCCTGCAAGATCCCCTTTGTTTATAATTATAGAATTTCTAAACATTTTAATTTTCAATACAAGGAAATCCTTCACGATTCTGATATTATACCATGTGGACCAGTTTGCTTCTTTGTATTTTTTCTTTTCGAATAGTGATGTCTATGATTTTTTTAGCTTGGATATCTTTTCTGGTTGACACATTCCATCCACATGGTACTGAAGTACTAGCAGGATTATTGTAACCAGCCCTAGAAGCATATTCCATCTTGTAAAGAACAGCAATCATGTGATTACAAGTAGCAATAGTGCCAGCAACACATGTACACCAGCCATACAAAATAGTGCCATCTTCTCTAATAGCATCCACACCTCCTTTTGCTCTTCTCACACATGCTGTGATGTAGTAATGACACATTTAGCAAGACATATGCCATTTGTTTCAGATGACAAAAACGTTCCAACAAAATTGCTCAACTACTATGAATATGCTTCTGATCTTTTTATTTCCCAATATAGTCTGAGTAGAATACTTTATTTGCCAAAATAAAACAAAAAACTTTCCAAGATCAACTGTTGGCCACTTACTAAATCAACAACCCACGTTCGAATGTTGATAGGATCTTCTAAACCATATTTCTGTAGTCTTCCTTGATATTCACCCTGCATCTTGGGTCTTGGTTGATAGCCCCCATAGACTTAAAAAGTCCTTGAGTGTACAAAAATCGTCATAGCCCTCCATTAAGAAAAAAATCTAAATAATAAAAATGTATACAAAGAGCAAATATGAATAACCAAGAAAAAAATGCACTTCACGTTTTTTTCGTGTCACAGAGATTATTCTCAAAAACAAACAGAAAAACAGCGCGTTCATATGATTGAGGTGTTATATTTATCATCATGGCACTTCGTAGTACCATAGCAAAATGGTGCGTAAGTCAAGAAATATTTTATGAGAACTTAAGGAAACTTCAGGAAATGTACAAAGACATCTTAACTTTCCAAAAATGTTACTCCTTCTTAAGCAGGAAATCAAAACCGTGCTGTATTTTCTAATATCGCAGAACAGCAGACCTTTTGTGAAGAGATTTAATGGTAATTTCTATTACATAATTTCGTAAAAACACTATTGCACATTAGCACATTAGCATTGCATTAGCATTGCACATTGCATTAGCACATTTAATATAAACAAGTTTTTTTGAAAATAGACATGCTTCGCCATCTCATGATGCCATCTTCAGTATGAGTGAAATAATAAGTGATACAAGGTTATATAAAAGTGATATGATACATAAATTACAACAATAAAAAGGAAATAAGATAAATTAATGGGGAGCGTCCAAGCGTATTATAAACTAAATATTGTATTGAATGTAAAAACTTGAACATTGAGGTCAGGGTTAGTTTTGTTAATGTGGAGTGCTTCTTTGATTTTAAGGGTGAATGAGGTGTTGGCAGTGTCGATAATTTTCAAGCAAGAGGGTGAATAGTTGGTTTTACATGAGTGAGATTTAAGGTGTCAGTAGATATGAAAGTTATCATACTCTCATACTATCAAACGCGTTTGATATTTGACTCATCTGACATGAATGACAAATGTTGTTCAAAACTTCGGCGAACACTAGGAAATTTTGTCGATCACACTTGTCACGAATAACAAGTACGCGCGGTAAGTTCACCAGTGTGCGGCGGGCTTTAAAGCCATAAAAGAAAACCCTTCTGTTGGACGAAACATGAAGAAGGAAGATTCAAAAATATCAAGAGAGGAAGCTCTGGTAATTTATTTCCAAGCAAAACTGCTGCTTCATTTAGTCGTCGAAGTGAACTAACTTATGGATATAATCCAAAAGCTAACTACGTACCAAAGAAAGGCTTAAATGATATGGCTCCTCTTCATCTTCATCATGTAGTCACACAAAAAGAAAATCAACTGAAGTAAAGTTGAAGTACCTGCTCATGGACTTTATTTTACTACCAGGTCCCCGGGTGTAGACTGTGCCCCGAGGTCGTTTTATGGAGTACCTTTATGCAAATGTTTTGCTAGGTCAGCCGTGGCTGTCGATGATGTCATGTCTGAGGATGACGTCAAGAGCAAAATATCATGCATTGTTAAAGGGAAACTGCTAGGTTAAATACTCATGAAAATAATTTTGAGTTTGTTCGAGCGATTGGCAATCAAATAGTTAAATTAAAAATGGGCCTTTCACAGGAAAACTTTTGAAGCATATTTCCAAACAGGGACCAGTTTATGTTAGAACACTGGTAGCAGTACCAGGTGCTGATTTAAAAGGATGGATAGCTGACCAAAGTGAAGACTCAAGTGATGATGATTTCTTAATTTCACCAACATTTGAAATGAAAAATGATATAAAGTCAGATGTTAAGCAGTCTATGCCTCCACTTATTGAAGTCATAGATTGTGAAAAAGAAGATAATGACAAGAAACAAGAGCAAATTGATTCAAAATGCTCAACTGCACCAACATCTTTGGCTCAATCACATTTCATAGCATCTGGGTAATTTATTATAGCAGTTTCTATAATTTTGTTTTCGAGTAGTTGCTATTTAGTTGAAGTCATGTTTTTAGTGAGAAGTCATATTATGATGTAATGATGCTTTTGCCATGTTTTCATCTAAATTATAGTAAAATTTTAGAGGTGATTTTCAGCATTATTATTGCAGGAGTAGACAATATGGCAAATATGTCGAAATAGTGAATGACAAAGAATAGGAAGACATGCAATATGTGCTTCAAGTTTCTTTGGAGGCAAGTCAAAACATGTAAGTTGATTGTAAGTTGTTCAATTATTTAGGATGTTAATATTTTGAACTTTGCTTTAACCATTATTTTCTTATCATATAGTGATAATGAATGTATTTTAGGGAAAGCACGCCATTAAAAATAGATGTTAAGAAGCTGTTACAGCAGCACAGTATCATTTGTATGAAAGGCGATTCATCAAATGAAATTATTGTAAGGCAAAGCAAACTTCTGGCAACTGCATTTGTTGCCATGAAATCAAAAAGGTTTGATTGCTGTGAAGATTTGATAATTCAGTTCAGTGGAGAAGATGCAATAGATGCTGGAGGGCCATGGAGAGAATTTTTCAGGTAAAATAATGCATTCTATTTCATTCAATAGTTATCGAGTAAGGTGTTGTACAACACGTTGGTGGGGGACATTTTGTTGCAGTGACTAAATTAGAATGAAAAATTTTTTATGCCTTTACAGTAAGAGCGTACCTCTTTTAGACTAGCCAGGCAGGAAATTGTTCAATCTTGAGGTCTCTTTGAAGGATACAATGGATGTAATCTGATTTTTACTCACAATGTGAAACTTCTTGAAGAAAAGCAGTATTGGTTAGCAGGTTGTATGGTTGGCATTATATTGACGCAAGGTGGCCCTGGCTTTGGATGTCTTAATTCTACTGAGTATGATTTAATGTGTGAAGCACCATGTGATGTAAATGACTTTGATGTTTCACTCATAGCAGATTATTCAGCCATTTTATTATAGCCATTTTATTTGTCAAAGAAAATGCTGACAGTATAGCCAGCCAGCCAAGGATATCCATTAATATACCTTGGCTAGCTTTGAGCAAAGGGATATCATTATTAAGTCGTTGGTTAAGCAGCACATATTTTACAGGTTATAGGTTATAGTTTACATACTTTACATATTTATGTAAAAAAAATTGAGCTATTTAAAATGGGAATAAATGATGTCGGAGGTCTTTGGGACACAATCAAGACACATTCTGATCAATTCAAACCTTTGTTCACAGAGATTCCAAGGAAATTTTCTAGAGAATCATTCAAAGCCATATACGAAATTGAGTGGAGTCCAAAAGGTACAATAACAGAATAAAAGAAGTAATAACAGAATAAAAGAAGATGAAACAATATAATGTTGGGAAATTATTTAGAGAAAATTGAAGGTGCGTATTTTATGTATGTCACAATTATTCTTAAATCTTCATTGATTTATCATCAGTTGTCCAGTTTCAGCAATACGTTATTGCTGTACCTTCTGATGAAGAAATTCTGCATAAAAATTTGTGTTATTTTTTACACAATGAGATGTTCTACCAGGCTGAAGAAAAATCAATAATTGTTCATTTAGAGTATTTGTGTAAAAAATAACACAAAATTGTACAGTTTACGACTGGTTCAGAGTGCATCCCTCCAACTGAATTTGAAAATTCCTTAACAATAACATATTATGATCATGAAGATGGGCAAACTAGGTATCCGTATTCCACTTGTGCCATGTCACTTGCGCTACCAAGTGGACATGAAGACCCAACTACGTTTGAGGAACTTCTTCTAAGATCTTTATTTGACTCATGCGGTTTTTATAAAATTTGACATTGCTTTGATACTCAAACATTTCGACTTGTTTTAGCACTGTTCTTGTTAAGAGTTAAGGAACTAAGATTTGTTTTGTTCGTTAAGTTGGTTTCCAAACAGGATTAGTTAAATATTTGCGTACTTTTAACTATCATAAGTTATGTTTTGTGTTGATATTGCTGAAGTGATTGACTTTATTATGTTATAATTCAATCGTTGCAAAGAAAAAAACTATTTACGGCCGTCTGTCTAATAATTCTGATAACACATTTTGCACTTGTTCATACAATGAAATGCCATAATTGTCATCATCATCCAATGGGTTCAATCTTAGAGTAATTTCATGAAGCTTGTGGTCATCTAGCTCTATTGCAGATCTAGGTACCTCTACAAAGTTGGCAGTTTGAATTTCAGGCCATTGGTCCTGACATCGGTCCATTGTCATCAACACTGTATTCACAGTCAACTAAGCTTTCATGTAGCATTTCTTGGACTGTGCAGTAATCTGAAAGCACATTTTGGTAAAATCCTCTGGTCCAAAGTTGTAAAGGTGATTGTCCATGCTCACTGGACAATGGGTGGTTATTCCATTGCATTGTAAACATGTTTAATGACTTGTTTATACGAGGCAAAAATATATAGTGCAAAGCAAACAAATGAAATTCATTGTCTGGATTCATTAGATTCCATGTAATAGAAGATGTTCTTATATATTAAAACAACATAGATGTTAACATAATGCCAAAGACGCTCAATGGGCTGATTATGAACAGATTGTCCAGTAAGAGAAGGTTTGCTAGACAGACCATAACAATTAAGCAGTTGCCTAGTCATAGCAATATTTTCTGTTCTATAATCTGTTCTAATTCTACGTAGATAGTAAAACTTAGTCGTGGCATGGAGGAATAGATCAAGAACAGTGGAAGCTTTATTGTTACATGAAGCTTTTAAAAAGACAACTGCATGAGAGTATCCATCTACACAACCATGGATAACAATGCGCCATCTTATTAGTCTATTGCTGGCCATCCAGATGCCTAGAAAGAAAAAAAATTATGTATAAGCTTCCCGAATGTCTTGCTCCAGCAAGAATTTCACTCACCATAAAGAATTTGGCTTTGGTACATGGTATAATCTTCTTTTTGTTATTTTTCTGCACCTCAACATCTGGTTATCTGGATCAATCCTCCAAATCGACTGATGCACTCTCCACCTCTGTACAATAAATCTCTGTGCTCTGATGTGACCCAAAATCATTCTTTCACCTGAATTGGGTGAAGCAGATTAAGCGGCCTTCACAATATTATCTAACTGATCATCTGACACTTCCATATATTCATTACTGGTGAAATGAATACCGTAGGCATCCCTCCGACGCATTGTCTTTTCTGACACACCTAGCATAGTTGCTACGGATTTCCATAAAAAACCAAGAGATCTCAATCCTTCTAATTGCTCTTTTGGTATCAATAGCTGGAGACGGCCTCGACCTTCACTGCAAACGTTGTTAGGGCAACTATATTGTAGGTCATCATATACAGACGTTTCAAAACGATCCATTAACCGACGCACAAGGCATTGAAAGATGTTGATTAGAGTAGCAATGGTTTCAATCATATTTGCATCTTGTAGTAAAGTATTGCAAAGATGGCCAAATGAAATAACTATAGTCCTGACAACTTGTTCTGTCTGCATATTAAGATGTTCAGCCTCCACAAAGGAAGCCGAAAACATATTTTGCGTTATTTTTTGATACAGTTCTTTCCCATGTTCTAGAATATTCATAAAATCACTAACTCCGACGTTCTCACGATCGAGGATTTCAATATCTTCTGCCATCTAACAACTTACATCGAAATTCGACAAGGTATAGTTTTACAAGAAATTACATGTGGCGTACTGCAGGCAGCAATAAAGTATTAAACTTTTCAGAAGTACTATAATTTTACATTTAACACAGTAATCAATTTGAAATAGAAGTTTCATCATTAGAAAAAGTATTTTTGTCTGTATCGGCGCGCCATATCATTGATATGTATATATTACACTGGAAAACGCATCCACGTATAAAATATAGTACGAAAATTGAAGCCGGAAGTTGGCTCTTTTGCCTTCGTGGGGGGTATCGGTCCCACTTTACAATATGTTTGTATTACAAAATCCCAGTTTTGGCATTTTTTGTCCTTTTACATAATTTGGATTTGGACAAAAATTTTATCAAACGAACAGAATAACCGGTAAAGAGTTTTAACCACAAAATTTCTATCTTCTTGGCTTTGTAACGCATGGAAATTGCGATTGCAAGTTCGGCAAGATAGATGTCTGATTCAGATTGTACTGTTGACAGTGAAAACATAAAACGACTGGTTTAAAATGAATGGTGAACATCTGAGCCCAGGTAGGTTTATAGATGTAAATAGTTTAGGATAAATTAGTATTTGAATCTTTCTTCTTTGATATTTTACTTTTGAATGATATCCTAATTTATTGATGTTTGAAAACAACAAGTTTATTTAATTTCTTCCTTAGTATTTGTCCACATTGATTTTGCATCTTTTTTTTACACAATGGTACAGTCGAATTTTACTGTAAATCTTCGCGATGTTTTTAATCAAGCTGTGGATATGGTTGTTCTCAACTGTTGTATCAAACATATGATGATGGAGCTCATTAAACAACGTGGATATCTTGCAGGGTCCTAATACTGAAGCTGCAATTGCATGAACAAGCCCTTTTCTTGTGGAAGATAGCCATCAGTTGCTGCTAACATTCGTTCAAAGCACTTCTCGGTTTCTTCGCAAATCTGAACAACACTTTATGTTGGTTTGTAGAGCTTGCCTCAGTCTTTCAACTTTAAAAATTTAGAGACTGGTATAAATGTATCAGAGCCAAGAGAAGTACAGCAGTTATGACAGTCTAGTTGTTTCCCCAACTTCTTTGTGACATACCCAGCAATATAGAAAATTGATGCTCTCTTGAATTCTGATATGGCGAAAACATAAGGTGAGTTGCAATAGTCGTGATGTGCTTGAACTGGATTTCTTTCAGTTAAATCATATTTCCGCATTAGTAAAGCACTTACAAGGCTATTGGTGTTGTTTTGAGTGTTGCAATTTTCAGAAACCACACTGAGAATATTTATAGGATCCCTTTTTTCACAGTTTCAATTACCACCTTCTATATGGCTACGTAAAAGAAGCCTCTTATATGCAGCTGTAAATTGTGAGTTGTAGGATTGTTGTTAAATCCTCCAGCTGATCGCACTGCTCCAAAAAAAAAACTCTAAAGGACCTTAACTAAATTTGTAGGTAAGAAGATATTTAAGTGGAGCATCTTGGGTCTCAACAAGCTTATTGACCATCAGCTGTATGCCCTTGATTGCTACTAAAAATCCAAATAATTCACCCATGACCTCTGCAGTGCTGGTGCAGTGCTCTAACCAACTGAGCTATGAAGTCACACGGTGGAGAGCACTTCAATTTGTTGGGCTAATGTTTTCTGTGAAAGGAATGTCATCTGAAAGATTGTTATATGTAGTGCGGTGTTTGAAATCAAATGAAGATATGATCTTGCTTAAATTGCCCAGCAAAGTGCGAGAGCACCGGCACCGCAGAGGTCATAGGTTCGAATCCCGTTGAGTCACCTGAATTTTTCAGGTTCATGAGACAATTGCTTAAATTGTCCAGCAAAGTGCGAAGATCATATCTTCATTTAATTTCAAACACCCCACTGCATATAACAATCTTTCATATGACATTCCTTTCAAGGGAAAACATTAGCTAAACAAATTGACCTGCTCTCCACCGTGTGACGTCATAGCTCAGTTGGTTTGAGCACTGCACCGCAGAGGTCATGGGTTCGAATTCTGTTGAGTCACCTGAATTTTTCAGGTTCATGAGACAATTGCTTAAATTGTCCAGCAAAGTGCGAAGATCATATCTTCATTTAATTTCAAACACCGCACTGCATATAACAATCTTTCATATGACATTCCTTTCATGGGAAAACATTAGCCTAACAAATTGACCTGCTCTCCACTGTCTGACTTCATAGCTCAGTTGGTTAGAGCACTGCACCGGCACTGCAGAGGTCATGTGTTCGAATCCCATTGAGTCACCTGAATTTTTCAGGTTCATGAGATAATTGCTTAAATTGTCCAGCAAAGTGCGAAGATCATATCTTCATTTAATTTCAAGCACCGCACTGCGTATAACAATCTTTCATATGACATTCCTTTCACGGGAAAACATAAGCTAAACAAATTGACCTGCTCTCCACCATGTGACTTAAATTGCACATTAAACATTGCTTAAATTGTCCAGCAAAGTGCGAAGATCATATCTTCATTTAATTACCTAGGAACTGTTCATTGTTCGTTCCCTTCTGATTGCTAATACAGCTCAATTCATAACACACATTGAGTGAAAACGGTATAACCAAAAGCCCTAAATCATCAAGATATGCTCTTGCGTTTTATGTAATGCACTCATTAATTTTTGTTATGGTTAAAT